CGTATTTAACTGCGATTCTGAGCATCCTGCAGACTACCAACTCATAGGTGGAGATTTCAACATGACGAACATTCCTTAAGGAACACCTAGCCAATTTACAAAGTACGGTAGGTTTGTTACCTCCATCCATTCTAATGGCTGGATTCAGCACGTACGGTAGCCAACTCGTGAGGACCGCATTCTTGATCACCTCTTCACGCAAGTTGTACCAGAAAAGCCCGCCAATGTACTAAGCACGTTTGCCGGCAGCGACCATAGGCTGATCGTGCTTTCGCTTAGCTCACCGCCGCCAAACCACGTTAACATTTACAAACCCGTAACATGGTACCGTGAGTATGCCTTCATTGACCAGAAATTATTTGTATATTTCATTAGATCGTCCCTATGCGATAGTTTCTTTTTAACAGCTGAACCTCAAATCGCTGCAAATGTGTTCTATAGCAACAATAGGACTTGTCTTGAAGAGGTCCCATAGCTTAAGCGTAAATACCATATAAATCGAACATTTGCTGACAGCCTACCACCTAAAATCAACAAAAAGATGGCAATTCTTCGCAAAATGTACGGACGGACTAACGATTTTTCACTGGTTTTACAAGTCGTTCAGAAATGCAACCACCTGGGAAGTTGTATCAGCGCCCTTTGGATCGAAGACGAGATCACGAACTGTATAGCAAAAGCTCGAAGTGCTTTTGCTAGTCTTCGCCACCTATGGTGGCGGCGCGACATCACTCTCACCCTGAAGGGTAGAGTGTACAATGCAGCGGTACGTGCAACTTTACTGTACGGTTGCGAAACCTGGCCCCTAAGATCAGCAGACATAAAGAGGCTAGTTACGTTCGACCATAGGTGTCTTCGCAGTTTGGCTCATATCTGGTGGGAACACCGTGTGAGCAACGAGCGTTGCTCGACGCCTTGGTTATGACACAGGAAAAGGAAATAAATCGCTCAGCGCCGTCATTTCACGCACCAGGCTCGGATGGCTGGGCCACGTGTTGCGCAATGCAGCCCAACGACTCCTGCGACGTGTGTTGTTTGCTCGCCGAGGGTGTGAATGGAAGAAGAGGAGGGGTGCCCAAGCGATGACTTGGTCGAGAGGAATGAAGGCCCTCAGTTAAGAGTTGGCCTCGGTTGGAGCTTCATGGCTCCCTGGTTAGGGTCCAAAAGGCGATGAACACGTTTGGCTAGATACGCTTGCTGAGATGGCTGGGAGCCGACCTCAGTGGCGTTCCTGCTGTAAGTTTCGTTGTCCCTCCCCATTCCTTTTAGCTTCCCCCTCCAACCACGATCTCATTCCGTAACAAGAATATAATTCTACATCATAATTTTTTGTGTGGCCTAGTAGCCGGATGATAGCTTACCGGAACAATGCCTATCCGTTGCTGGTAGCTCAGCTGACATGCAACTGTCGAATTTATTTTCTTTTTTCTTTTATGTATTGCGGAACAGTATCTAAGGTGATTTTGCACCTCTAGCTGACGTGCATAATGATGATGATGATGGTTCTACAACAGCAATAACTCTTAGCCAAGTACTACGCCCTACGCCACTCAAGGCAAATGACGGAGGAAAAGCATGCACTTCGGGTAACAACAAAGAGCTAAAGTTGGCTGATCTCTTAAAACGTCGAAACCCTACGACGAATGAAATCACTTTTATCACGCCTCCCGATGGCTCCCCCGTACATGACCCTATCGCCATGACCGATGCTCTAAACTGGAAATTTTGTTCAACTTTCTG